TCACACCAACCTTTTGAGGTAGGCTCGGGCCGAGAATATAGCAACCTAGCAAACGAGTGAGGTTTATGGCTGCTGCAGAGGAAAACCCAAATCTCTTAGGTTTTAACTCAGCACCAGGCTGTTGTTCTTGAATGAAGGCTAGTTGGTGAGGATGTACTCTTTTCATTTAGATGGAAATGGTATTACTGTATTTTAAACACACCATCCGGAGAAAGATTAAAGAGAGAGACTAATATTCTTTGCAATCGACAGAATCTGGAACCGGCTTATCCTGCAGCTTAAGCTTAATCCAGATGCAGCTAGATTAACAGCAACTTAACTACCACTCCTGTCCCCCTCTGCTACCCAGAGTGAACTGGCTGGGGATGATGGGAGGGCCTTCGGGTGGGCCAAGCAATTTATCCTAGAGGAAAATTACCTTGGAAGCAGTTTCACAGATGGCGCGTGTGGAAGCAATCCTCTGATCCTGACATTTCTACTGTGAAGTGGGTGGATTTTGGGGGGGGGAGGGAAATCATTCCAAATATAGATGCTGTCCCTTGGTCCTTTACGAGGAAGAGAAAAATGGGGCACGCAGTAATCAGGAGGAGTCCAAACTAATTAGCAAAAACTGGATCTGCTTCCTGTGAAAAAGCAGAACTTCAGCAGTACAGAAACTCGCCCGGCCAGGTTGGTAAACGCCCGTCTTTTAAGCCATCAGAAGCCCCACGGTGGCTTCGGGAATCCTACTTCGGAGCATCAGAGAGAAAAAAATTCAGCCAGCAAGCAGCAAGCCCTCCATTTCTGCAGCGCCAACTGCGTAGCCCAAGAGGCGGGTGCAAAAGGAATTCAATTGAGGGACGCGTCGTTTGCACGCCACCTCAATTGAAGAAATGCCTCGGATCCAGGCAGGGTGTTTTCGTCGGCAATAGGTCCTGCTGGAGATTCCTGGAGCAAATCTCCAGGGATTGCATTTCTGCCTACATTTACACAGGCCCGTTCCTGAAGAAGCCTGCAGAAGAACAGGGAGGAAGGGGGTGGCTGATGTATGATGGGGAAAATATTTATTTATAAATCAAATTTATATCACTGCCCAACTCCCCCACAAGGAGGGACTCTGGGCGGTTCACAACCATACCAAAATATTTGATATTGATTTGGCTGTCACCCTGCCAATGGAGGCCAAGGATGGCATAACAACACCCTGCTGGGTGGGATTAAAAGTTTCATCTCCCCTTTGCATCATTTCGCCCAGCAGTCAAAGAGATGCACTGCTGGGGATCAGGGTAAAAATGTATTTCTTCTACAAACATCTCTTGGGAATTATAGAGCCGTGGTTGGGGGTATCTGAAAGATACCAGGTTAAGGAAGGCTAGAACAGAGATTAATGTTCCAGCACAGTGGTGGGACAACCAGGGTCTCCCCAGTTGTTGGACAACAACATCCAGCCTCGCCTAACATGGTCCACGGTGAGGAACACCAGTTGCCTCTCTTTTAATCTGGCCGCTCTCCGAGAATGTGGACTTCACCTCCCAGAATTCTCGCCAATACCTGGGGAATTCTGGGAGCTGAAGTTTGCAGAGAGCGGTGAGGTTGGAGAAAACCTACAGGTTTCTTCACTAGGATCCAACTCTGTCTCCTTCCTCATAGGGAAGCTCTCAACCCACTTATGGTTGAAGCCAGATCTTCAGTCCTGCCCGGGGATGAGGTCCAACTGCCTATACGCCTTCCCCCAGAGAGTTCAATCACAACCTATGGAATTCATCCCATGCTCTTTCCCATACACATAGCTGCACCGGTGGTCTCCCATTGAACATTGCTAGTATGCACAGCTAACGTGTCTTTGTAAGAGTGTGCAGATGCCTCCCGTTGCTTAGCAACAAGACGGGATGGAGATGCAGAAACCTTTTTGGCTTCCAGCAATCTTGCTCAGACTATTCTTAGACCGTGGCGTTGGTGCAAGGCCAGTTTTTTCACTCCCCGCCTGGTCTACAAAGAGTCTTCATGTTGCACGTGCCTAAGCAGAATTTGGAGGTGACCAAACGTCATAGAGGGCAACAATTAATTCAACCCACCAGGATTAAATGAAATAACCACCTTCAATTTCCTGCGCTCTCAATTTCTCACTCCCAGATGGGACATTCATCAACAGATCCACAGAAAATCGGAAGCCAAGGATGCATATTTAGAAGTAACACGTAATAAGCCCAATTCACCACAGAGATGTTTTGTTAAGCAGAATATAGACTGGATTCACACTTTGCAATGTAGCTTGTGGTTATGTGAACCAAGCCCCAGCATTGTAAACCATGACTCATGGCTTAGTACAATGAATGAACCTGGCCTACGATTCTAGATAATCAGCAGTATAGTAAGATTAAATACATTAAAGCAATCCATGGTTTTACCTTAGCCCAACCTTACTCTCCATTGAGCATTGTGTAATTAACAGCCAGTGATGACCGTATCTCCCCAATCTTTGCATCAGTGTTTAAACATGCTTATTTGGTTTCCATAATTATACCCAAAAAGCAGGAGAGTAAGAACATTGTTTCTGAACTTGAGCGTTGGAGAAGATTCCTGCAAATGCCATGAACAGCCAACAAATGGATCACTGAACAAATCAACCCCAAAATTCTCACCTGAGGCACAAATAAACAGGCTCACGTTATCCTATTTTGGACACTTCATGCAAAGACCTTTTGAGAAGTCCATAATGCTGGGAAAGGCAGAAGGAAAGAGGAAAGAAGATGACCAGTAGCAAGGTGGATGCATTTAGTTACAGCAGTGATGGATGTACCTTTGGAAGACCTGAAGGACCAGTTGGGGACAGATCCTCCTGGAGAAAATCCATCTATGTGGTCATTGAAAGATGACATTAACTTGGTGGCATACCCCATATCTACATAAAGTTACATTACAAAAACTACAGCTTCAAAGAAAGCCCCTTTCGTTTGGCAACTGATTTGCGTTGGATTGGATCAGAGTTCCCCCTCCCTGCAAAACTCTATTTAACCCACAAACACCGTCTATTAATTCAAACACAATCACCTGTAAATTATGGCTTGCTATATTTTAGCAGCCAAGTCATTTCTATTTAAAGAAGAATGTTTACTGTGCAATGCATGACTACAGCACTGGTCTATGACACCTTACAACCCACCACACCCTTTGCTGGGATCACGTGGCCATTGTCAAAAGACACAACTGCTCTAAGGCACCGGAGGCAGGTGCCTCATTCCTATTCCTGCACACTCTGATGCACCTTTTGAAGATCAAATCCAAAGGGTTACACACCCCAAATATAGCTAGATTAATTGACTGGATCCAACCCATGTCCAAGAGATGTTCAGTGGATTGTTGCTCTGGCCACCACTGACAACAGATCTGTTACTTTCGCGCAACCAGCATGGTCAGTTGTGAGGGATCCTGGGAACTGTAGTTCACAACATCTGGAGGACCACAAGTGCTCTATCCATGAATTAAACGATTGGGGCAGCTAAATTTAAGACAAATTGCATTGACCAGAAGCTTACCAAATTGATTGATACTAGTCAGGTTGGTCACCTCCATACAGGGGAGAAGAATTTTGGGGCTGCCAGATGTGATGCTGAATTAGAACTCCCAACTCTCCAAACTGGGATAATGAAAGATGCTAGCGGCTGGAGTTCAGCCACCAATGGAAGGTTATAGTGTTCTCACCTTAAGGACTCTGAGCTACCAAAGGTGCTTTCCATCAGCCAAAGCTTTTGTTGGGGGAGAGAGCCAGGGTTGGGCCCTTCGGCATGTAAATCCAGAGACTCCTCAGCTGTTTTCTTCCCCACTAAAGTGTATCATAATTATTAAGGATCTTGATCCATCTCCCTCGATGGGTACAAAAGGAAGAGTTAGGGAAAGTCTGAGCATGCTTGAGGAACACCATCACAGAGGAGAAAGAGCAGGAGAATCAGCCAGGGATGGGGAAGAAAACACAGCAGAAGGAAGAGCAAGGGTGCCATGTTAGTTCATCCAAGCACACTCCAATTCACTCCCTAAACTGGTTTCCTCCAGCCTGAAGGTTCCCCAACCTCCTTGGCCATCGTGAGGAAGTGTCAGCCAACGCACTCAGGTGCGCCAGGTGGAGAAAGACTCCAGGAGGCCAATTTACACTCCAAATCATTCTGCCTGAGTCTTTGAATCTTGAGCATCGTGTTCTCTCCCTCTCAAACCACGCAACAGCACAGGCCAAAGCTGTGGATTCAATTCTTGCTGCCTCTCCAGCAACTGCTCCTTAAGACACCAAGAGCCTTTTGCTCCCTCGATGGCACGCCGACAGTTATTTCAAAAAGGGGGGTGAAAATCTTCTGGAATCCAATCTGCCCTTCTCCCAGCAAATCATCATCGTCATCCTAATTGAATAATTCTGCATCTCCCATCCGTACAAACAGACCGGGCAGTACAGGCTGAGCACTCCAAAGCTAAAGCCCGCCAGCCAAATTGCAGATAAACAATCTTTCTCCCTGCCACGGAATTACATCACCCTCGCTCCCCCCACACCCAGCATCTCTCCAGGGAACGAAAGCTCGGCACGCAGGCCGAAAGGATGCTGAGAAAAAAAGCCTCAGACCATAACAAGGAAAGGGGGCTCAGAAGCCTGCTTTGAAATCACAAAGCTGCTCTGGGGGGGGCACTTTGTCTGGCTTGGCCCTGGCACATGGCCGGAGCATCTTAGCAGGGCCGCCTGTTGCCGACCAAGCGACAGGGCATGAGATTTGCCCCTGAAACCTGCCTGCCTGCCGGCCGCTGAAACCAATACAGTATTCCTAAGGAGGAGTGTGCTAATAATCTCCCAGGAAGGCTGGACTTTACTCACCCTCCCTTACTCAGCATAGCAAGAGTCAAAAATTGAGAGGCTCGGGAACACAGGGAGATCTATTTGTTCTTCCTTTAAGCAGGCAAGAAAATGGAAGTCTCCCCCCTCCCCTTTAGCATCACCTCGCATGACAAGGGAGAAAGAGAAAGAATAGGGGAGTCAACCTTACCTGTTTTTCTTCTATGGGTGGGGAGCCGCAGCCGAGGGAAGAGGAGAAAAGGAGAAACAAAGCAAAAATTAGAGGAACCCCCGCCTGAGACTCAACACCCGGAAAAACGCAGGCAGGTTTTCAAAACGTGCCTTATCCCCCCACCCGCCCCCCAAATGCCCTCCCAGCTCACCTGGGTTGACCAGCTTGCTTTTGTACCGCAAGCCTGTGCTCATCTTGAGGACCCTCGCCCCGGAGAGACGCTATGGGGCTTCCTGGACTGGGGGGGTTGTCCCCACGGCGGCTGCCTCCCCCTGCAATCCACGCCCGGCCACCCACCCGCGTCCCAGCCTGCAAGCCCTGC